TCTACTTTTGCCATCGGAATATACACAAAGTCCGATATAAGGTTTGATGCAATTACCACAAAACTTGAGTTATTTGTTTGTCTACCATTATTTTGATTGAAGAAAGGATAGACACATAGACAGGGAGGGAGATGGACAGTTAGATATCGCTTACACGATTCCTGAAGAGTTTTTGATTAGGAATACAATATAGAGTGAATTCTTTTTTTAATATAGTAATTACATACTACATAATATATAATATAATACTTAATATAATATACTAAAGAAAATGAGTACACAAATTGTAAATACATCATTGGCAAAATATCAGTAAAATTGGTCTTAAAAGTGAGATAAAGTTTAAAATGTAATACTGAGATATCTGCAAAAATATCTGTTTAAAATTTTTTTAACATTTTCTTTTTGTATACAAACAAAACTATTTGTTAGAGCAACTAAAATTTATAAAAAGATATAGCGAAACTTAGAGAGAGATATTTAAATAAAGAGCGAGAAAGAGAGAGCATGCAAACAAATTTTTGCGCAACAATTTCATAGAAGATTTTATAATAATAGACAATAAAGTTTTTTTATTTTTAATCCAACATAATTGATCTTTAGAGACCTTAACAATCAATGGATTTACATTTTTTACCTTCTTCATTTTGATCCATTTTCCAGCCGGCTTTTTGCATGCCATCCTTGCTGTGTGAAAGCGCAAAAGCCGCCATTTTTTTTTTGATATTTTTTCTTTAACTTTATGTAATTTGATTATTTATAGAGCTTAACTATACTAATTACACTTAAACTTAATTGAATTAATTTCACATAAATATCACATAAACACAAATTGGCATATTCGAAAAACAATAATTTATCAATTATTTCAATAAATAAATTTCAAAATTTTCTCATTGTTCATTAAAAAAAATTCATTTAAAATTTTTGTTACTAAAACTGACGGCACTAAGATTTTGACTAAACGTAAGATTTTGTTATGTTTAAATTGTATTTTTCATTTGTAAAAATTTAAGATAAGAAAATACAATTTTTTTTTTTTGCTTTTTTCAAACTAAAAATTGTGCCTTTTTCATTTATATGTGCTGTGTTGTTGTTGTGATATACGAGCAAATCGTAAAAAGTGGACACTGTGTTCTCGGAGATTTGCTCGGAAATGTGCGCTTTTTAAAAATAAATTCAAAACATTGCAAAATACTTTTGATTATTTTTATTATTCCGCTTGCTTTTCGTTTTATATCAGAAAACGGAATGAAATGAAATGTGAACGGAACACTCAGATTGTCAACAAATTTTTGGTGCTTGTTTTTTTTTTTCTATTTTAAAAACAAAACCAGCTGTTCAAAAACTTTTTTTATTTTCAAAATAGTTTTATGGAAGAAAAACCTACTCTCTGCGTAAGTTACAATAACAAATTAGAAAAATTAAAACGATACATATTCTCGTGGTTAGACGAGAATATTGAATCCTCCAGTATCTGAGTCTTATAAATGGATAGGATAATTAAAACAAAATACTTGAATTAAAAACTGATACAACTGTGGGATAATCAATACATTATTGCAATTAAATCGTTATTAATGTAGCTATTAGTGTCATTTTCCACATAAAATCCATTCCAGAATCCGTACAAAATATTCAAAATAATTTCGTCATAACAGCACATTGAGTGAATGCTGACTCGAAACATTCCAATATGGCAACTATGCGTGCTAGTGTTGATAAAAGCAAGTATAAAATCTGAGGGTAAATCAAATTGAAACTAAATTTTAAACAAAGAACAAAGTTGCAGATAAGTTGAATGAAAATCAAAATAGTGTATATTTAAGTGTTCTGTTTAATAATAAATATACATTTCTTGCGAAAATGGCACGAATCACAATTAAAACAAATTAGTAACGCATTACATTTGTATACTGCATTTGCTTACGACTTCATACTTTTTGAACATTTAATTTGCATATTAATTCTACATTGAACAGGAATGGAGTCATATCAACTACTGGTACCGCATTGTTATTATTTCTATGTTCATTAATCAGATCATGGTTTGTTGATATACAAAAATTCCGATATATATAAAGGGTTATGCATACCTTAGCTTTAGTTTGGCAATTTCAGTAATATGTTATCCAAGACATGGATCATTTACCAACCGTTTCGAAGTTTTTTAAGAAATGAGGATTATATCTTTCTTGGTACATATACCCACAGACAACTATTATGTGCTATTATGTCTTTTAAGTTCGTCTGAATGCTCAAGTTAAAATTCTTGTGATGTTATATAGGAGTCCTGCAGTAATCCTATATTCATATGAGAGACATGATTTTAACTTCTGTAAGCTGTTATGCCATATATTGTGGAACGCTATGTCTAGGAAGACAACAAAGCATCTATTTTGTTTTTTAGGACTTGCACTTACACAGTAGTTTATAGTTTTATCACATTCAAGGTAAGATATTTATGGCATTCGTATGTTATGACAATATTATTGTATGTATACCATATGTTGGCAAAAATGCCAACTAGTAATATATAAAACAGGTTATATATATATAAGCAATAGTATATATAAGCCGAACTTACTTTATTATATTAAGTAGTTCTTATCTTTGAGTGAAATATTTATCTAATTCTGAACTATAAGCTTATATATTAATTACAATCAAAGATATCATCTGAATTTAGAGAGATAAATGGATATACGTTAAAATTCTTCGTTCACATATACCTATTATATTATGTATGTAACAATTGTAATCCTTTACTTCCAGGTTTGGTGAAAATATATGAAGCAACGAAAGAGTTTTTCTTTGAAGAATTTGGATCTGAATTGCTGTTTGGAAGCTGTGTTTAAAAGTTAATCAATGTATACTACATATATTATTATAAATAGTAAGACAATTCGTGATTTATTTACTGAACATAGAGAAGTAGAGTAAATTAACTCAAACACCTTTGATCACTTATATTATTTTTATTGAATAAATCGAACAAATTAATAATAGATTTATAAACTAAACTACGAAAGCAGCAACTAAACGTTTTCGCATCAAAACAACACGTTTCCTAAAATAGTTTCTCTCATCGGTGTTCCTGATTTAGAATCCACGGCGTGTGCCAGCCTTCTTTCTATTTTTCGGATGACGTCAAAAAATATTTTGAAAATCTTCTCATGTTTTTACTTTCTCAAGAATTTTCTAATAATTTTTAATAATTTTGAGAATATTCCGATTATTGCCAATTATTACAGTTGCTATAAAATAATTCCTTTCGCAATATAAAAACAATTTTTTTCTTGTTTAAATATTAAAGTGCTTAAATAGAGTATGCTATATACCATATAATAGAATAATATATAATAATAGAAGACACATTATTGTAAGTGAATTTTTGAGGTGTTTTTTTTGATTCTGCGATTTGCTGTTTGTGTTCTAGCCAATTTGTCTAATCCTCTGCATGAGTATATAGTAAATTTGTTTATGTTTAATTTTAAACAAAAACTATTTTCGGTTCGTTCGAATGTGTTACGAGCACTTGGTGGGAGAGTTGGAGGGGAGTAGCTGCTTCTTTGTTTATTAATTGAAATTAATTATTAGGAATTATAGAAAATTGAAACAAGTGCTTGATACTTTTATTGCAACTGTCAAGGTTGAATTACTAAGGAAAGGAGTGTGCGAAGATCAGTGCTTATAAAAATTTCTAATCACCTATATTCATAAATTGAGTACTCATATTATTAGAATGTTGTTCAATAAATTAAAAATTTTTTTACATTGCATCTGTTTTATTTAGACTAAACAATAAATAATTTTTAGTGCAAGTAGTCGTACATTGAAGTATTTTACATATAAATAATGTTTCGATCTGAGAACTTCAGATAATCATTTAACGTACAAGTTACTTGCTTGTATTCATTTCATTTTAAAATTCAATTATTCATTTAATCGATATCTATTCATTTTTATGCAATTATTCTATTCTTATTCTATATAAAACAGTAACAACAACTGTTTACTGAGCGCTCAATACACAGAAATACCTGCAATACTTAGTGGTGGTTCCGGGTCATGTACTTCATCCTGGAAAGGGGAGTTTTTTAGCGTGTCAGTGATTAGCGCGAACGGTGCACTACATGTGTAGACATTTTATGTTCCACAGCCAAAAATACACAGAAATACTGAATGCAAGAAACTCGCTTTAGGTTCAAGTATTCATTTATTCAAAATCTTATTTACTACATTTCTGCGTATGATATTGTAAATACCAATAAAACAAAAACAATTACAGTCAAACTTACACAGCTCGAACTGTCATTTTGCAAAGAAAAGGTGACTATGAGTTAGAGAATAGTTACACTTTAAATTTTGAATCAGTCCCTGATTAAGTGGTTGCAATTTAGAGGTCACGTTCGTCGGAAGAAATGTTAATTTTATGCATTTGCACAAAGAAGCAACCTAAAAAAAAATAAATATTTAGTTTGGAAAAAGGGACTTCCCCTACTTAAAACAAAAATTCGACTTATAGAATACACTTTCACACATTCCTATTGGCACGTGACGATATTATTATTCGAGTTATAGAGAAATTCGAGTTATAGAAGTTCGAATTATAGAAGTTTGACTGTATTTAAAATTATTGGATAGCGAATTAATCTGCTCTATAAATTGTTCTCATATTTTTTGTTATCCAGCTTGTTCATTTGATTTAGCTAACTTTAAAATCATTCAATATTCGGCCCATTGGTTTAAACATTGAAGTTTAAGCATTGAAGTTTTTTGTTCCTATACGTACAATATATATATATATAAAGGTATTTATAAAATATCGACAATAATCATTGAGAGATAGAAAATCTACAGCTGTTCTTGCAAAATTAAAATAATAAAAGCGCGTAATTTGTTTATAGCAGTTAGGATTTTTTGAAAAAATATTAATTAAATTAATTAATTAAAATAAAATTAAAGATACATTTTTTTTAGGTTTTTATTGTTGTTTTTTTATTGTGTTATGTTTAAGATTTAAGTTTGCAATTAGTACAATATATATTTTTAAAATTATAATTATGTCATATATTTTATAAAACTAAAATTAATAATAATTATAATAAAAGGTATTTATTATGACGAGAATTGCATACAATTAGTTGCAAAGTTAAGAAAGTTCATTATTATTCATTGAATGATATTGATATGCTCGAAAGCTTAAAAGCTTTAGTCGCTCGAAAGCTTTTGTTTTGATTAGAAAAAAACTTTAACTTAAATACTACATGCTACTCTTTTTCACAAACACATCAAGAGCACCAATTAATTTATTAAACTTGCTGATAAAGCTGCGTGCAAAGGACGAGCATATGTACTACGTCGTACAGGGATCCTAATTTGGTTAGTTACTTTCCTTGGGTCAGGTGTACATGGCTCCTAAATTTACGAGAAGCAGTAAGCTCATTTTATCTTTCTTCTGTTATCTACATTGCGTAAGTTTGAGGAGAGCGCCGATTTAGATGCACTTGTCGTTGATGAATTCCTCAATGACGACTGGTCGTCTTTGATTAGTTCATGTCGTCTTGTTCGAGTAGAAGGTGCTTCTGACTTTTTATTGTTGCGTGTTAGTGTGCTTGTGCTACCATTTTGATGCGGTTTACGTGGTAGTGTGGACATCTGAAATTAAGAAAATAATTTATTACAAAAAATGATAGCTTTGAGGCTTTGACATTCCTAACTTACTCGTTTGTTTTGCTCTTGCGAGTAATTGATTTCGTAGCCCTCACTTATAAGTTTTGGTTTCCATGGTGCCAACATCGAGACCGATCGGGAAACTGTACGTGTCATTGGCTGCAGTGGTTGATTTTTACTTTTGTTTGATCTTAGATCATCACGTGATATGGAACGACGTCTTAAGTGATATGGCTGCGGTATGGCACCAACGGTAGTAGCGTGTAAGTAAACTACGCTACGTTGACTTTGTAGGCTCGATTCACCTTCTGTACCTGAACTTTCACCGGGGAAACGTTCACG